GAGAGAGAGAGAGAGAGAGAGAGAGAGAGAGAAAGAGAAGTTTTTGTTGTTTTAGTAAAAGTTTACGGCACTCGCAACTGCATTAAGTCATATGAGCGCCAGAAAATTACAGGTGTTACAAGAGAGTAACAAAAAAAATAATTAAAAAAATGAAGAAGATAAGGACGATAGATGTTTGATAGGAAGGAAGAAGCAAACCACACCAGTGCACCCGCCAACCACCCACAGAGAGAGAAGGGTGTGGGCATTGGTGGAGAAAAGGGATACGGAAAAGGAATGGGGCGGGAGGAGGACAAGCTCTCAAGATAGTTTCTTTACGGAAAAGGCAAATAAGTTTTAGTAAGCGTTTTACGGCACTTGTACCACATTAGGTCATATAAGTGCCGAATACTAGAGGTGTTACAAGAGAGTAACAAACACAAAAAGGAGGAAAGATAAGGACGATGGATGTTTGAAAGGAAAGAAGGAGCAAACTACACCACAGCACCAGCCAAAAGGCAACGGGAAGCTCAACGAGACAACATGTACCTACCACAACAACCCCTCGTAAAATACTGATTGATGTTTTAGTTTCGTAAACGTTTTAAGGCGCTCGCAACTGCATAAGGTCATATGAGCGCGGGGACACCAGTTGGATATTTTCACGTTAGTACACAGCATGGCTGTTTTATTTTGCTAGTTAAGAGGTTGAAATATATAAACTATACTTTAAAAAAAATAGTTACCCCCCCCCCCACTCCCCAGCAATTCACATCTTTAAAGTAACATATGTTTGCATCTCTGAGTAAAGGCCAATGGCCTTTGTAAAATCAATACTTCTGTTGGAATCAACAGCGGAGAACGAATTCTTTATGTCTGAACGTCTAAAATATTTTGTTTGGGTCTCTGCAAAGTCCAGACATTCTATGCGTGATACGATTTAAGTTTTCAGCCAGTTGAGCACAAAACAGACCAAAACAACAAGAGGATCTTCTATTTTCTCACACTTAGAACCGTTCTAATCTAGGAAAAAGGCTACCCTCTATCTTTCTATCTATTTATCAATATACTGGTCTAAAATAAGCTGGTCTCTGTTAAAATACTTGTCTGTCAACAAATTGTTTTATCTGTTGTTCCAACAATGAGTGGGAAGTGAACATGTCAATATGCAATGTATCCGCCATTTTGACCGAAAAGGGAAGGTGAAAGAGAAAAGAAAGGGGGGCGGGGCGAAATTAAAACAAACTTTTGGAGCTCGCAAATGCATTAGATCATATGAACGCCATAAGATTAGAGGTGTTACAAGAGAGTAACAAACATAAAAAGAAGAAGGGGAGATAAAAACGATAGATGTTTGATAGGAAAGAAGAAGCAAACCACACCAGAGCACCTGTCAACCACCCACTTGGCCTGTCCGATAAAAAAAAAACGTGCCTCGACAACGGCATCGTTTCTATAGGAAAAAAACCAAACACACACACACACACACACACACACACAAACACACACAATTTGGGCGGGTACAAAGGGCGGGGTTTTACATGGGTCATGTTTTACACCGATGCCAAAACATTTTGTTCTTTTATGACAATGGAAGCACAAGGCCAAAACATTCTGATCTTATACGACAGTAGAGGCACAAACTTAGTACCAATCTGTCATCTAAAGAGTTCATGAATATTCATAGAACTTAACTCCATAGAGGCACGAAGAAAGGCGGTTCTATCAGATCACACTGCAATCGAACATTATGCTGATTCTTCCCATATTTTCTTTTTCGCTTCCTTCATCTGTCTTCGACTAATAAGTATCAACTTCCTCCCCAATGGACTAAAAAGTATCACACACACACACACACTTTTACCATTCTTTTTCTCCATCCTCTTTTCCAGCCTAAAAAGCTATCTCGTTAATCATCAATAGGGGCACATGAGTGACACGCACCATTCATTTCTCCCCAATTCTTCCTTACCCACCCTTTCCCATTCGAAGGGCACAGCTGCTTCGTTCAATATTTTCCTCTCAGTTCCCTTCTCCTCAAAAGATTGTTAACTCTTCGCTTGT